CCGCGCGCGCGCCGCGTTGCCATGGGGACGGGAGGAGCGGGGCCCGGGAGAAAAGGAGGCCCGGGAGTGACCTGGTCATTCTCCCGTTCCCTGAAAGGAGGCTGCAGCCAGGTGGGGATTGGTCTCTTCTGCCAGGCAACCAGTGGCAGGACAAGAGGGCACAGTCAAGCTGCACCAGGGGAGGTTTAGGGTGGACATTAAGAGGAATTCCTTCGCGGAAAGGGTGATTGGGCACTGGGATGGGCTGCCCAGGGAGGTGGTGGGTTCACCGTCCCTGGAGGTGTTTAAGGGAAGACAGGACGTGGCACTCAGTGCCGTGATCTGGGTGACCCAGTGATGTTTGGTCACAGGTTGGACTTCATGATTTCAGAGAGTTTCTCCAACCTAATTGATTCAGTGATTCTGTGAAATTGGTTGGCACAATCACCCCTACTGCTGGCGGGCCAGGAGCGGCCCGAGGAAGCATGGGATGCCAGCGGATGTGGAAGCCAGTCAGCACAACTGGGTGCAAAAGCAGTGCAGTGCCGTGTGTGCGGCAGGATGGCCAGGCTAACACGCGTCCTCTCCTCTGTGATGTGCGTGAGGGCGGTGGTTGGGCGTTCAAATGGTTTTGCTGCCTCCATCGTGACAGCACCACCACTGGGAGAATGCTTTGATTTCCCAGAGAAATGTGGTCGCCTTGTTGCATTATGTGTCATCTTTTCTAGCTGCTTCTGAGCAACTGCCAGGCTGCCAAACCCGACTTACTGACGCAGATAAAATAAAAAACACCCCAACATTGTACTCTTTGAACTGAAAACTCCTCCGTGACTAGGAACAGGGACTGGCCCATGGCGATGACCTCTCTTGCTGGCTGAGAGGGCAGTCAGTGTTTGTGGTCTGCAGCCCCGTGAGCCTCTTGTCCACATACATCAAAAAACTGACTGAAGCCACCCATAATGCTGGACTACAGGGGGAAAGAGTGTGTTGTTAATAATCATTTTGAAGTCCTGGGTCTAAGATGTGATTTATTTATGAAGGGAAGCTGAATGAGAAATGCAGTCCTTCAGGTGGGAGCTCTCTGAAGAAAAGAGGCTGACATTCTGACCTTGGCCACTGACGGGAGTTTTACATCAGTGAGGCTCCAGAGCTGCTGAGCCAGACTCTGGTCTCTGCACGAAGAGCTTGCTGGGACTCGGCAGTGCAACAGCACTTGACTGTGGCTGAGGGTGATACAGAGAAGACAGAGCCAGATTCTAAGGGGTTTTGCACAGCTAAAGACCAGAGAAAGGGGCTGCAAGTTGCAGGTTGGAATTAGAGTGCAACAAAAGGAAAAAAAAAAAAAGATCACTGTGAGGGTGGATAAGCACTGTTACATCAGCCCAGAGAGGGGGTGGCCCTAGAGACAGTGACAATTTAGCTGGACAGATTCTGCGATGCTGCTGTCCTGAGAGAGAACCTGCAAAACAAGCAAAGAGGTCATCCCGCAGAACCCTCCCCAAAGCTGACAGCTAATACAGAGAGCTGCTTAAGCAAATGGCACACGGGCAGGACTCGAGCCCGCTGTCCCCGCACGGTCGCCCGGGGGCTTGGCAGGGTGGCCCCGGCACCGGCTGGGCTCCTTTTCTAAGGATGGAGCGTCACCGTGTGGTCACTGTACGAACTGCTGCTGCAGGAGGGGGCCTGGATTCAGGGTTTGCCAAGGTGGGATATTTCTCCTGTTTTACTGCAAAGTGGAAAAAAAGAGGCTTTTCACACATATAGGCGAACACTTGAATAATGAGAATCATTTTCTTGCGCCCAAGGGGATTTCTCAGAGCCTTGTGCATTGACTGGGTATCAGACTGGTTAAAAGAAGTTGCAGGACCTCATTTCTCTTGCTGTTCACTTCTGCTACTACAGCTGCAAGGGAGATGAACAAGCAGTGAATGTTTCCTTTGCTGGCAGCTCCTGCCATTCAAAAGGAAGACAGTAAGCAGAACTCGCCCGAGGTGAAAAACTAGACCTGCTGACACTAACAAGGCCAAAACCTGTAGGTTTGATTGAGCCTTGTTTTGTGCTGCTCCAGTGAAGTGTGTGCGTTGTGCATGTCCTTCAGTACATCCCTGAAGCATCAGCCTTTGTACACGTGTGCTGACTGACCCTGCCTTTTGTGCACAGCTGCCTCAAAGTGTCCAAGATCGATTGGATTCTCTGTGTGAGATGGAGATTGAATCTGCATGTGCCCTAAAGCCATGTCTGTCTCAATAGTAGAAATCCAGCTGATTACCTTCTCCCAAGGGGAAAAGTAATGAATTGCTGATGAAAATGGTTACTTAAAATCCAAAAAAAGTAAGATTAGCCAGCATTTAAAAAAATCCCAGGAAGCTGTTCATTTTCAAGAATAGGTCTGATTAATTCTATCAAGAATTTGAAATGCAGCTTTCTCTTGAAAATTGGGCTCACTGCTTACAGTCTACCAAGATGGCTTCAATCAAGAGGGCTTAGTTTGCACATACAGAGATTTTTTATCCCAAAGTACACAATCCATGAAAACTCTGAGAATCAAAACTGCCTTCTTCTTGTCTTTCATCACGTGTAATAAGGAGTCTGCTAGCAGATCACACGTTGCATGACTGGTTAGCTTCTTGGCACTCAGATATATTTCTGTGTACTGGGACTGTGCTGAATCTCATGTTTCTGGCTGCTTTTCTGCTACTGTTTTCAGTGTCAACACAACTAACTTTGGACTAACATCCTTCTTGACTGCTGTCCCTTGAGCCATGTTGTCTGTTTCAGGGGGAACTTTCAGTGAGTAAATGTGGGGATTGTATTCCCTGCTCATCACTCCAGAGCCTGCCTGCCCTTTCCCTGCCCCACTTCTGCTGGGTGCTGCAAGCACTTGCAGCGGCCTCTGTTTGGGGCAGGCAGGACATGGCCCTATTGGGGTGGAATAGGGGGCTGCTTTCAGTGGGTGTCTTCATTGTCCTTCCTTTGAAATTTCCTGCATTTAGGATTCTCTGAGGTTTATCCAGAGGGAAGCTGGGGGAAATGGACAAGGCTCTGTGGCAGATGCATTGTATTTCCATACGCATCAAGCACGTTTCAGTGCCCCTGGACTTTGTCCCCACAGATTTCTTCTCCCAATCAAGTAGATAAGTCTCAGGAGTATCTGGTGTAGCTCTATGAAAAGCAGTACTCTATTACCTCTATGAAAGCATTACTTACAAAATCAGTACTTGCAACCTGAAAAACCTTAAAGGCAACTTAAAGCCTAATGGGTTTTCTGAGACCCTGCAGGTGGGTGGAAAGCATAAACTCTGGTTTGGCTGATCATTTTTTATTTGTAAGGCAACTTTCAGCCTTTCCAATCCAGGGACATGACTACACTCTGTTGCACAGCCCAGGGGCACTACTGGTCTGGCAAGGCGCTGTCAAAGCTTGTGGTCCTTGGGATGAGCCCTTGGGATGTTGAGCTCCACAGCAGAATAGCAGCAGGGCATACAGGAGACCACATCTCATGAGCAGAAGCAGAGTGAGGGGTGGGAAACAGGCAGAGACTTGCCCTCATTATGCATGGGTCTAACATGCCCAATTACCCCATCCTCTCCTCACCTCTGCAATGTAAAAGACTGTTGTTGAGAGTGGTCATAATTCATGGTGAACACCCTGCCTCCCCCTTACTCCTTTCACACCCACTGCTCTCCATTTTCCTTCCAGAAAAAAATGTGTCTTTGATGAAATGAAATGGCTCAGTCAAAAAACCCCTCAAATGGTTGGGGACCCCTGCAGTTGGCCACCCTTGCCCACTTCCCAGCTCTATTTCTGGCTGAGTTTGGAGTTTAAGTGGGCTGACCTTGTGCCCTGACTGCCCTGAGGGTCAGTGATGAAAGCGGATGGAGGCTTCACAGTCAGGTCTCTTGTGTGTGACTCTTTTGTTCCCAGGACAAGGGTGTGCAGTGCCTGGGACAGTGCTTGATTGTCTGGGGGCACTGCTTTACCCGTCATGCCCTTCCCCGGGTGGCCCCAGCCCTTCTTGCTCATGCGTGGGAGGGAGGCAGCTTCCCCACTCAGGGTAGGGAGGAGGAAGCAGAGTTTGGATTGCTCAGGATAATTTCTGGCTGTTTATCAACCTGTGTAATAAACTTTGTGGAGTGCCAGAAAGCAGAAAGAGAAGTTAAAAAAAAAAAAATTACTTCCTTGCATTTTGTGACTTCTGTCTGTCACTAGGAATATCCTCCATTATCCTTCTGTGCAGACAAGAGCATCACCTTGTCCCAGCCAGCTCCTGCATCCATCCACTGAGGTCCACAGGATTCACCCTGTCACTGAGACCTCCCTCTGCCCTTCTACAGGTGTTTAATGAGGAAAGTCTTGTGTCAGGCCTGAGGCATTTGGCTTAGTCCAAGTGGAGGCAAAGGGTTCACACCAGGGAGGGCAGAAACTGCGCTGATCTTGTGTGTGTGCAAGCTCAGGGCTGGATATATTGAGACTTCTGGAAAGCTGCTTTTTTTTGTTGTTGTTTTTTTGGGGTTTTTTTGTTTTGTTTTGTTTTTGTTTTTTTTGTTTTTTGTTTTTTGTTTTTTGTTTTTTGTTTTTTGTTTTTTGTTTTTTGTTTTTTGTTTTTTGTTTTTTGTTTTTTTGTTTTTTTGTTAGATCTGAGCTGGGCACTGGGTTAGATCACACCTGGCACTGCCCTGAAGACGTGCAGAGGAGTGGTGGTTTAGGTATGCTTGGGCAGGGGAAGGAAGCTGGACAACCTGTGGGCATGATGGTAAAGAATTGAAGGTTTACAAAGCCTTGCCTGGTGGAGTTGGTCAGCAGAGCTCAGCACAATCATGTAGGAAGCTTTGTACCAGGTCAATACCTCTTTGGCTGCCCCCTCAGAATATTTCTTTTCACAACAAGTCCTTCCTGTGCTTCACATCTTCCTTAGAGCTGGAGACTGGGGCAGGAGCCTCCACAGCAGGCCCTCCCCTCTGCCATTTCGGGGAGTGACTGTGCAGAGGAAATGGATAAAAGGAGCCCAGGGTCAGGGTTTAATTACCCCATTGCGTGCAGGGACGAGTGATGGACAGAGACTGTCAGTGGGTCACTGATTAGCTGCCACAGAGCAGACAGAGGAGCAGGGAAATGTGATGAGCCCCTGGGACAGGCCAGTGTTGGGGAGAGCTGTGAGACATGGAGATGGCAGCTTGTTGTGAGAGACACTTTTTCTTTTAGTTGTTTCCCCAGTCTTTCATCCCACTATTTGTCCCCGGTCCATCAGGAGTCCTGTGGGCTAAAAAGTCTCCCGCTGTGCCATGACTGCTTCACTGGTTAGGGACAAGTTGCTGCTGGGGTGACAGGTCCCCTGGGGAGATGGAGAAGAAGGGATGTCTCCTGCCAGCTGTGATGATCTCTTGTCTCCCCGTGGCAAGGTGGCAAGGAAGGATGGAGGCAGGGGAGAAGGGAAGGACTAATGGGGGAAGGAAAGGAGGAAGGCTGAATGAAATGGCTGCTGGCAGGTGAGGTGTAATACACAGACAGTGCTCCTCTGTGAAAAAGTGAAGTTCTTCAGTGAGATCAGCCCAACAAAAGTGCAAACCAGGCTGCCTGTTTTCAGCCCCACTGCCTAACCACTGCTTGCTTGGGACATGGCTGAATGCTTCAGGTAATAAATCTATCTGGCATCTGTTTGGTCTGGGACTGAGAGAGACCAGTTTTATTCTCTTGGCAGATTTGGTGACCTGGTTTTGTGTAGCAATATGAAGAAGAAGCAAGTTTCAGCAAGTCTTAACTCTTCTGCTCCTAATTCTGCCTTCTTTCTTTCCCACACTCATATCAAGCCCTTGTTCCTCATCATGCTGTCTCTGAGCCCAGCCTCCCTTTTCCCACATTTAGAGAACTCAGCTCATATCCCTGACCCTGCCCTCAAGTCCTGCCATGCAGTGTCACACCTCACACTCAATCTTCTTCCACCAGTCTTGTTACCCTTGGTCTCAAAGCTCCTCTTTCTTCTCCTTTTCTCTACAATCCCTAATTGCATATCCTCTTTTGGAGTCTGACCTTCAATTTCTACCTCCATTCATAGTTGTCCCCCCAGGTCCTGCTTCCTATAGTTCCTACCCTTTCCTCTCCCATTCTTGCTTTTCCTCACTCATCCTTTATCCCTCTTTCCTGTCCCCTTCACCCCTGATCTCCCAGGGTTGTTTGCATGAATCGTCTCTGGAATCATGAGATCACTGGTTTTTTTCTGTCTCTGTCAGTGGGAACATCACATTAAGGAGCATGGATAAGTGACCGGGGGCCATTGGGGTGACTCTGGCACCCCCTCTCCCCACCATCCCTACCCCCCTCTTCTTCTGTATCAAAGGAAGCTTTGTT